TAAGGCGACGCGAACAGCTGAAGCGTACGCTTCAGAGAAAAAAGCGACGAGGCGAGCGAAGCGACGAAGCGATCGCTTTTGAAGAAAAATCGCATCTGGGCCTATTTTTTTTAAAAAAAAAAAAGATTGGGTCTGTTTTTAATTTTATACAAAACAAACCCCTAATGCTGCGCGACATAACAGAACACAATTGCTGCGATTTTCTCTCTTCTTCATCGAAAAATTAGGGTTTTGGGACAGAAAGTTTCTGCTTTCTTTTCTCTTCTTCATCGCAGCAGACCAGCACCAGTCCACAGCTCCAGTCGACCAGTCCGGGTAAATTTTCTTCTCCTTTCTTCTTCTCAATTTTTTTCTTCTTTCTTTCTTTCTTTCTTCTTCTCATTTTTTTCGTCACTGACTCGCTGGGCTGGAGTTCTGTCTTCTTTCGTCCTTCTTCTTTCTTCTTCTGAGTTTTGTCTTCTCTTTTTTACTTCTTTCTTTCATTATTTATAATTTATATATTTTATATTTTTCAGTTTATTTGATTTTTTAGTGTATATTTCAGTAATTAAAATTAATTATTATATATGTTATATTTTCAGTTTATGTGATTTTTTAAATGTATAATTCAGTTTGTATAATTAATTATTATATATATTATATGTATTTTCAGTTTATTGATTATGTTTTTTCTTATATCTTAATAGGGATATTAAAATGTTGATTCTAGTAATTTAGTAGCTTTGATTTTGCTTGTCCTATGGTTTGTGGATGGTTTGTGGATGATTTGGTGGTACCTAGTACCTACTTTTAAGTATTTAAATTGAAGTTTTTGATTATTTATAAATTTACATTATGTTTTTTAAGAATTGCGCTTCACTTTAATAAAGTGTGCGCTTCGCTTTGCGCTTCGCGTTTGAAGCGAAGCGAGCCCTTGTCGTTTTTTTGCGCTTCGCACTCTCCAAAACACTGGTCAAGTGAATCTTAATTGCACCGTTTTCCTAGTCTCTTTGCCATCATAGTTAACATTGGTCCACAACCTCCTTAGATCCAGTTGCATCTTCATATAATTACCCGGATAACTCGATTCAAACAGCTTGGTTGCTCCCTCATACATATCTTCAATAGTCGCCCTAAAAATTACCCAAATACTTTAAATTGCTTCCTTGTATATATCAGCATTAGTCACATTAGAAATTCCCCAACCACTTAAAATTGCTCCATTCAGTCAGGCATCCCCTCTTATACACTCACGTCATTGTTAGCGGCTCATGAGAAATTTTTGTACATGTTTTGCTACTGATCCAGGGATTTGATTTCTGCCTCATGCATCTTACAGCAATCTTTTTTGGCCAGCGTATTCAGCCATTTCATATGCGACAATATTCTTTTTGAAGGATTACTGACCAGATGAACAGAAATTTAAAGTTACAAGTTAGCAAAATTTATTTACCACACCCTTAGGCAAGTTGTCTTTCAAATTTATGTAGTTAGGGATAGTTTGTCCCTGTAGACTCTCATGTCAAACTTTTGGACTTTGTCAGCTTTTTATCCTTAGCATAGGCCTCATTGCAACAGAGCTAACAAACTCTCACTTTTGCTATCATGCATCTACTTGATGCCATTTATAATACCACTTACTTCATCAAAACAAGTTAGCAAAATCTGTTTTGCGTGACTACAATGTTATTCTTGATCCTACAGCTATAAACTAGTCTTAACCATTCGCAATCGTAGCCATTAAATTTTTCAATGATCCTGTAGATCAAACAAGCTTTACCTAGCTAGAAAAGCTATACCAATATCGAGCTTCCACATTTTGCATAAGCAGCTGAATTATCACCTTTAAGTAGTCTTACAATGTTCTTTGTCAGACAACAAAAGGTAAAAACACGACACATGAACTGAATATTTATCAATATATGATTGTCTAGTATCTACTATACCCATTAATTTTATCCATCTTATCTGAACTTTAACAAGAGACCATAAAATGAAACTAAAACATCTCTAAATTATAAATGGAAATCATCATGTTGGGAATCATAACAAAAACAACAACTTCTGGAAATGTACTTACTTCACCCTGTCAAAATTAACACCCATCCGTTTGCCACCATCTTGACCTGTACAAATGAAAATTGTACAAGATATTCATCAGCGCCTCAAAAAAGTCCTATTGAAGAATAAGGTAGGCTGCTGCTTGAACTTGTCTAATTAAGCTCATACTCTTGAGGTTTACCTGGAAGAGAATTGTAGTAACCGAGGACTTCCAAGTGTTTGCCATCTCGGGGAGATCTACTATCCGCCGCCATTACTCTATAAAAAGGTTTGTTTTTGCATCCAAACCTCGACAACCGCAATCTTACCACCATTTTTCTCTTCTTCGCTCCAAATCTTTGCTCTATAGCAAGGGTTCCGACGGCTGAGTTTTTGTAATAAGGGCTCGTTAGCGGAGAATGCAAATTGTGACAATTTTGTCCTCCCTATCCCTGTCCTTTTTCCTTTTTCCTTTTTTCTTTTATATATATTAGTTTTAGAATTAGTCATTTTTTGTTTGGTAGTATTTTTTAATTCTTGTATAACTAATAATACACTATATTTAGTACTATTCTTATACATAGCAAATCATGGCATTAACAATACCACAAAATTTTTTAGTACACCAAATCAAAAAACACGATAAGAAATAATCTCAGCATAATTAATCCCAATATTATTAATACACTTTATTCAACGCTATTCTTATATACCCTACCAAACGATCCCTAAGAGTGAAAGAAATGTATTTTGCTTCATTAAATAAGCAAGGGCGGCTTAACGAATTTAGGGGCCTAAAGCCGAATTTTAATAAGAATCTAAATTTTATAAACATATACAAGTATATGCAAAAACTTGGATGTTGTCTTTTCTACTTCTGTACTTATTTATATAATAGTATTCATACAAGATATATGACTTTTAGCTTCATTTAGTAATATTATTATTATTTATATTATCATGTGTTAATTCAAATTAGTAAGATGTTAGTCATATGTTTGCAATGCATTACCTTGGATCTTGATGTAAAAAACTTTATTTGCTAATACAAAGATTTGAGTAGTTTAATTCGAAGTTCTAGAATATTTCTTATGTTAAAAAGTAAATATTATTTGTTTTTTTAAAACCTTTTTTACACAGATTTTATACTTTTTTCTACAAAGTTCAAAATTGTGTAAGTCAAATTATTATTACGTATTTTACAACAGTTTTTGGGGCCTCAAAATTTTTGGGACCTAAAGCGAAGGCTTTACTAGCCTCAACCTTTGAGTCACCCATGAAGATAAGTTGTATATTTCTAAGCAAATAATCTGTTTGAAGATTGCAAAGATGTAGTAAATGGTATGATCTTAAACACAAAATAGGAAAAAATTGAGGAAGTAAAGAAGCTATTCTTGAATAAACAAAAGAAAGCATGGTTCAATTATAGAACATGTAACATATGACGAATAATTCAAGGGCATTAGCACATAAATATTCAGAAAGCACTGAAATATAAATCTTACTTATGTATACATTATCCGAATTCTAGCCAAATATGAAACTATAGCGGCTCTAATTTCAACAACACAGAACTTCATTATCCGAATTCTAGCCATAGCAACGAGCTTCATAAACACCAATTACGGTTTAGAGAAATTGAATTTCAGTCACTAATATGCAATTCTTGAAGAAAACAAAAGAACGTTCAAAAGGGACAATGTGAATCTGCAAAAGAGAAAAAAACATTGCTAAGAATTTAGAACACGTCCCAATTAAGATTTACGATTTAGAGTATTGGGATGTCAACAAAATCAAGAAAAATTACAGAAATTCAGAGATTCAATCAAAATAGAATATCCAAAAGTGAGAACAAGACACAAATAAGAGGCAAGCAAAACCTTCTAGTTTAGCCCCTTCTCAATCTATTTTAAAAGGGGGTTTTTTAAACCCTACACTCGAAACTGAAATTTACCATTAGAAAAGTGGAAACAAGATGGAGAATTCCAAGTATAATTTTCAAAATCTTACCCAGAAAAAGATTCGGCGGCTGCTTGATCCTTGAATGAAGAGAGAGACGTGTGAAGGATGAAATTTGTTTTTTTAGGGTTTAGAAGAAATAGCCTGATGTCAAGAGAGAGAAAAGGAGCACCAGGCGTGTATCTTCGGTATTTTTAACCTCTGGACGGAATTAAGACTCAATTAAAGGTCTGACCGAATCAGATCCAAGCAGACCTATCCACACTTTTTAAAAATAAAAAAACAAATACACTTAATGGGCTAGGATCTGATTAATCCAGATTCAGAATCTCATTAAGTGCAAACAAATGACGCCTTATAGCTTGTTTGGCCAAACTTTTTTTTGGCCAAAAGTGCTTTTTTTTTTTTACCAAAAGCATTTTTGGCCAAAAATTGAGGTGTTTGGCCAAGCTTTTGTAAGGAAAAAAAGTGTTTTTGAGGAGAAGCAGAAGCAGTTTTGGAGAAGCAGAAAAAAGATGCTTATCTCAAAAAGCACTTTTTTGAGAAGCACTTTTGAGAAAAATGCACTTAGAAGCAGTTTTTTAAAGCTTGGCCAAACACTAATTGCTGCTCAGAAGTGCTTTTTAAACTAATTAGCCAAACACAAACTGCTTCTCACCAAAAGTACTTTTGAGAAAAGCACTTTTAAAAAAAAAGCACTTCTCAAAATAAGCTGATTTTTGCGGCTTGGCCAAATGGGCTATTAGTCTCCCTAACTTGAGTAACCCCTAATTTGAGGCTTTATAAATGTAAAAGTTAGACTCATTAGTTATCCATTGGTTATCCATTTTCTAATGGATAATATGATTCTTATCTATATTTGACCCGTTTTTAAAAAGTTCATTATCCAACCCATTTTTTAGTGGATAAATTGGATGATTAACTGTTTTCTTTTAACCATTTTGCCACCTCTAGTTACGACCATGTCATGTCTTGCTTTACTCATTAACACCAGAAACAAATCCCTCAGACAACTTTCTTGGTTTCCTTAAAGAGACTCCATTCAAAAGAAAGAATTCCAAAAACTTAAGGTCTTAGCAATATATTTGGTCTAAATGATGCTTGATGCCAGACCCCTCCTTCGGAGGGACCTTATTATTTCCCTAATATCACCAAATGTCTCATAGCTAAGGCAATTTCCTCAATACAACATAATAAAATAGACGCGGAATGACATACAAAGTGTCTTCCAAGTATAGATAATTCCTCCAATGAAGGAATGCTAAGAGAAAAGATATGTAATGCGGAGTAATAAAGATGCATTTGGTACAACACAAGATTCATCTCAGCTTTGCTTGGTAGCTTCAACTTCTTGAAGAAACTGATCCCACGTCGAGCACAAGATCAGGAGAAGGGCTATAAAGGTCACACTCCTTTGGTATCTCGCTCTTGCTTCTTCCATTTGTTTGTTTACTCCTCTGTGCTGCATCAGCTTCTCTTTCACTTTCACATTTGAGTGGGTTTGTTTTAGCTTCATACAAGGTGACACCGCCACTTCCACTCGTAAGAATTGCTTCTTCACCTTTATCTTGTGGTTGAAGCGCTTCAAGTATTTCAACGACTTGACTCATGACAGGCCTTCCTTTCGGGTTTTGGCTTAGGCATTGATAGGTTAGATTGGCAACTTTTAATGCAGTTTTAGAGGAGTATTGACCTTCCAGTCTGGGGTCCATTATCCTGAAAAGCTTCTTGCTATGATTCAAGAGAGGTCGAGCAAATTCTACAAGGTTATGTTCCCGGCTAGGTTTACTTTTGTCCATTGCTCTCCTTCCAATGAGCATTTCAAGCAAAACAACGCCAAAACCATAAACATCACTTCTGGCTGTTAAATGTCCTGAATAATGCAATTGCGCATCTTAGTTCAACAACATAAACAGAATAATCACAAGCCATAAGCAAAAAAGTGAGGACGATTACACAAAGGTGTAAGCCATAAGGCTTATAACATTTTGGTCTTTGGGTGCACAAAGAAGATAGGGAAGATGGTGTGAGTTACATGAAGAATTTCATTACTTGGATCTACAAATGCAGTGCCTGTAAACAGCTATGGAACGCAGATGGACCAGCTATCGACGCTATATGTGTTCACAAAGATAGGCAAAACGTCAAACCACTCAATTTTAAAGGTTGAAGAGGAACTGAGCATAAAATATGTCTGACCCTCGTTCTTTGCTAGGCACAGAAGGTGCCTTACCTACTGAAACAAATAAGCGGCCGCATAAAACAAACAGCTATCTCATTAGCTTTTCATTTGTGCTTGCCTGATTTGTACAACAAGCAACCACAAGACTTACCGGTCATGACATACTCCGGTGCAGCATAGCCATAAGTGCCCATTACACGAGTTGATACATGTGTTTGATCTCCCATGGGCCCATCTTTTGCAAGTCCAAAGTCGGAAAGCTTTGCATTGAATTCCTGCATCAAAAGTTAAACAAAAGCCATATTTCTTCTCAGCAAGTAGCAAATACCAATTTTCTAGGGCCTCTATTAACGAATGATACTGAAGAAGACCACAAACACAAAACCAACCAGAAGGGATCTCGAAAGAAAAGTGCATCATGAAAAAGACAACTCACCGCATCCAACAAAATGTTTGACGTCTTGAAGTCCCTGTATATTATAGGCCTTTCAGCTCCATGAAGAAAAGCGAGCCCTTTAGCAGCATCCAAAGCAATTCTCATTCTTCTTGACCACGTTAAAGTTGCACACACTCCTACAGCATAATACATGGTTGAAGAGAGGAAGAGCAAATTCCCATAGAGAACAAACAACTGAAAATACTGATCCACTAAATAAGGATTGGGAAACAAGAAACACAATTCTTTAGCCTTCAACATGGAGTGACATGGGTACTGAGTACTCACTTGGAAAAAGGTGCTTTTCCAGGCTGCCAGATGCCATATATTCATAAACTAATAGTCTATGGTAATCCTCGCAGCAGTATCCAATCAGCTTCACCAGATTTGGATGTCGAAGCTGCCCCAAATAGTTCACCTCTGCCTGCACATAAATGAGTAAAAAATAAGCGACTGACATGCTATTGAACAACAGTGTCGTCGAACTTGTTGCACATTCATGAAAACTTTTGTAGCTACTTAGAACGTGAGTTGTTCATAAGACAAATTTCTTATCAAACAGCAGACTTACGTGTACACTTAGCAAAGACCTTCTTTACATACCGTGTCTTGCATACTCTCAAAAGCATGTCACTTTTAATTTGTATGCAATTGAGATGTAAGATATATTAGATGGCATCTAAGAGTCCATTGACATCAAAATATTTGGTCTTTATATCATAAAGGAAACAGAAAAAAGTCGACCATCATTTGAGTTGAGTAGCTAGACAAATAGACAACGGCAATTAAAACAGGAATAAGTGACAAGTGAAAACAGAGAAAGAGAACTTTCGGAAAAGAAAACTTCATAAAAAAAAAAGAACTTTCGGAAAAGAAATTTATAGGAAGAAAAGAAACACCCGAAACCCATGGAAGAAAACAAAACAAATGAACCAAAACGACACAACTTCTTATGATATTAAATCAGAAAGCTGGAGAACTGACCTCTTTACATTGGATATTGGAGAAAAGAGAAAGACGAGAGGGCAATTTTGAACTTGGATAAATTGCTTGATATGGAAAATTACTTTTATTGTTCAAACAAGTTGTAAATATTCATTCTTAGTAAAGATTATGTCATTCAAGAGACTTGTTTACATAATTACTTTGGTTAGACAACACAATTGTACCTAAAAAGCTGAAGCAAAGAAAAGAAGAAAGTTACAACTCACAGCACAATAGAAGGTCACAGCCCACAATCAACTGACTATTATGCTTCAAAATAAAAATGTGTGGAACCTCTCCTAAAATTGCTGATTCAATCTAGTTTCTGGAGATATATCAGGCAATTGTGTGTTCCATAGACACACCTTATGCTACCTTCCCTTATTTGCATTTTAGGCAGGATCCATCAGAGGTGCGGGAAAAGAGAGGTGAATGACTATTTCAACAACGCATCAAACTAGACAAAGAGATATCAAGAGAATGTAAATAATAGAGACAACAACAATATTTTCCAATATGTATGTCAACCCCCCATTTTGGTAATGTCAGTAACCCAAAATTCTGTAAAGTTGATGCAGAACTGATCTGCTGGTTTTATAAGTTCAGCAGATATTACGAAAATCCTTTTACTAATCCAATGACATTGAGAATACCACGCTTCAATTCCATAGAGACTGCAATCTGCAAATAAGCATTATAGTGTTTAATAGTCAATAAGTTGAACTCGTACCAGCCACTCTCTATCGCCCTGAAGACCTTCTGGATCAAGCTCCTTAATGGCAACATATGTCGTCTTGTATCCTGGCCTGACATGCTCGTCAATAATTCCTTTGTAGACAATGCCGAATCCACCCTCTCCAAGAACCTTATCTGGTCGAAAGTGCTTGGTAGACAACTTCATCTCTTCATATGTGAAGATATCAAGGTTACTACTCCCAGGATTCTGCCGCAGGTCCTTGAGATTTTTGGGTATTACCACAATGCTGCTTGCCTTTTCAGTGTCTTTAGCATCACGATTAGTACTTTGGGGAATTACAGGATTTGACTTGGTAGGATATGCACCAACACCATGGCCAACTGGAAGTAAAAGAAAAAGAAGAAAAAAAAACAAAATCCCTCAATTATCAAGTTCACATTTGATTCTCTTTAACATAAGATAAAGTAGTAATTTTTACTCTTATACTTTGCATTTAGGAGATCTTATGTTACGAAAGCAGTAAAAGTCTTGTCTTTACATCAAGTAATAGACTATGCATCACATCATTTGCAGTGATCTTGAAGAGATTCTGCTTAGCCGATAGTTCTTACTGTCTAAGCAGACTGCCAAATTTCATATATGGCAATCAGAAAGCCTTAATTAACTCGAGATTAGCAGCATTGTTAACACTAATAATAGTAAATTGACTATACTTCAAAAATTCCAAGAGTAACATCACAAGAAAAAGCAGATCAGAATGACAAAAATAAAGTCAATGCACAAGAATTGATGTTAATCAATGGACCATCAAACATATCTGTTTGGTCACTCAAAATTTTTAAATTTACATTCTGTTACAAAGTATCAGGACAAATAACAAAACTAACCCCAAATAAGAATAATGAGGAAAAAATGAAACCTGGCTTGTTATGTTGGTGCAGTTCTGATTCATCTTCTTCAATACTGAAACAAGAACCCATAAAAACCCACTAAAGATAAGATTTTTATGCAATCAAAATCTGGTCTTAACAAAAGATTTGTATTTCATTTACCCAAAATGACTTAAAACCCACTAAAGATCAGATTTTTATGCAATCAAAATCTGGTCTTAACAACAGATTTGCATTTCATTTACCCGAAATGACTTAAAACCTACTAAAGATCAGATTTTTATGCAATCAAAATCTGGCCTTAACAACAGAAATGCATTTCATTTATCCAAAATCACTTAAACCTTACTAAAGAACAGATTTTTATGCAGTAAAAATCTTTTCTTTACTTTACTAAGAAGTCAGTTTTAATTGCTGACAACTGCCTAAGAATCTAAAATGGCTAAATTTGCAAAAATCTGATCTGGGGTTAATAGGATATTCCAAGAAAATCTCAATGGATTATATAAGCAAAACCTTCTAGAAAATGCAGTAGTATGAGGATGTGATGACTAGTAGAAAAGTGACACTGAAAAATTGTAGAGACCAAGAAATGCAAAAAGAAGGGTGTTTTTATTTACTTAGTTTTTTTTTTTTTTTTCCAAACTACTACAACCACTAAATTCAATTTAAATTTGAGTTTTGGAGAGAATTTAAGAGGGGTTTGATTTGATGAATGATTAGTCAGTCAAGCGCTGGGTAGGAAGAAAAATGCCAAAAGACAACAGCTGGAGTCCCCACTTTACTTTGGTTGGACTTTGAATCCTTGAGTTCGTAACCTCCTATATTTCCCAAATTGCCCTTTTTATATCTTCATATGAGATACTCCTTTTTTTCTTTTTCTTTTTTGTAACAAATGGAGCGTAGTCTCACAAGTGAGAGGGTAGAGTGTAGAGTGTAGAGTGTACGCATAGCTTACCTTTGCCTTTAAGAAGGCAGAAATGATTGTAAACATCGAAATTTTAATGGATCAAGCTAAATCCTAAATTCAAGATACTACAAGACCTCTTGAAACTCTAGGAGTCTGTCGGTGTTGCTTGGAGGCTACTCTACCAAAACCCTAGGTCACTCCTATAAAAAGGGTTTCATAATCCTTTAAAAAACATCTCAAAAATGGAGATCATCTCGAAAATCCCATAAACTCACGGGATATTCACAAAGAGATCAAAAAGTGGTCGGATAATTCTTGATAATCAAATTCTTCAAGAAGATCCACAACATACTTCATGGATATCAAATAAATCCATGAAAGCCCGTACCATCCTACGTTCGAGAAACACGCTGTTCTAGCCCTCGAATCACGGAGATAATCAGGAGAGAAGAATCAAGGGGATAAACAGAATTGTACCCGCGTCTTTTTATGAATAAAATTGCGTTTCTTCATATTTATATTGTGGTTGCAATTTATTTTTGTATCACAAATAAATTTGTTGCAAACAATGATGTTTTCGGTAAACCTTCGGCTCAAGAAGGAAAAAAAGGAAGGGCAAATAACAAGCAAATTGATCCGACAACCGAAGCGAAAATACAAAACTAGCACTAGGTAATACAATTAGAAAACTAAAACAACAGACAACAAGTAGTAAAAGAAGTGTAGGGATACGAAAATACATGAAAGACACTAAATTGTGTATCAAAGTTACTATTACAAACAAGGACAACATTCGTCTACCTAACCTTTTTACCTTTATATTCTCAACCTCCACACCTTCCTATAGGGCTGGGCATATATCGGGTAAAACCGATAACCCGAACCGTTAATTGTTTATTGGTTTATCGGTATCGGGTTATTGAGTTAACAGTTCGGTAACAGTTTAGAATTTTTTCACTATTGGGTTATCGGTTCGGGCCTCGGTTTGCCAATTTTGTTAATGGTTAACCGATAACCCAATAAGAATTAATAAAATTATGACTTTACCCTTAAGTATATACATATGCTAGGCTTCAGTTCATTCTCTCCTATTCTTTCTCAGCCGAACTCTTCAGTTGCTTATCTTCATTCTTCGTAGACCTTACTAGTCACTCCTAGCGTAAGTCTTTGGTCTTATACATTAGGCTTTTAATTTCTATAACAAAATTCATCTTCATATTGGTATTTTTATTATTAATGATTCTTTATTTTTTTATTTTCGTTTATTAATTTTGTGAGCTCACGTTGTGCAGCCTATACCTACTACCAGTTTCTCTTCGCACTTATCAATTCTCAATCGACAATCTTCGTCAGTTTCGGGTATATTTTTGAACATTATTCTTCTGTACAGTACGCTGAGCTTTGACAACAGGACAATATTTTTTTGCCTTCTAGGTGTTTTTTATTTCTGTGTTAGTATTGCCCATGCACAGATCAAGGTTTTGCTCTATGGTTTCTTTTTCAATGTTAGGCATTTGACAAACAACATCCAGTTTATTTGGTGAAGCCTATAAGTATTGAGTAGTAGTTGTCTTGTTAACTTGAATTGGACTGTTAGTACTATATGTTTGGACTTGTTAATTTTAAGGTGAAATTGCTACTACTTTGTATTTTTATTAATGTATTTGGACAACTGTTGTTGAAGAATTAGTACTATTCCAGTTGTGGCCACACGAGAGAACGCAGAAATGGGTAGTATACTATATGTGAATTCTTCTCTTTTTGCTTAACTCCAGTGAATTGTCTTCTCTTTTTTGCTTAACTCTAGATAGAGTTATGTTATCGGGTAAACCGATAACCGATTAACTGATAATCGATAACCGATATCTTATCAGTTCGGTTATCGGTTTATCAAATTTGTAAACCGATAACCGATATGCTAAACCGATAATATTCATAACCGAACCGTACCGACCGATGCCCACCCCTACTTTCCTATCCATAGTCATGTCCTTAATAAGCTGGTGCAACACCATGTCTTGTCTAATCACTTCTCCAAATACTTTTTCGACTTGCATCTACCTCTCTGTTGGCCCTCCAATGCCAGCCAATTATAACAGAAATATTAAATTAGTAATTGTTACTTTGATAAAAAGCATCAAATCAAAATTTAAATTTAAACATTAGAATAAATATTATAATAACAAATATTTAGGTCATTTCACACTGAGAAAAGGTTAATGTAAATTAAAACATGAAAAGTGTTGGTATGTGAAACTATAAGATTCAATCAAATATATCCAGCTAAATAGTTAGAAAGAAAAGAGGTTCAGACTCGAGTATTGAGAAACAACAACGTAAATAAAGCCCGAGGTCTTTACTTTAGAATCCTCACCATTAAGGGTCGCGGTGATTTCATTCTTAATTAAAGATTTCGAGTTTGAGTCTTAAATATGACACTGTTCTTGTTAAGAAGCAGAAACACTTTACCTTATGAAATATTTTGGTACTATTTCGAATTTAGTCAAACTCAATGCGAATACCAAAAAACAAAATAACTTTAGAAACCTACCTACGTTTGCACCACTGGGGAAGGTACACTCAATGTTGTTGCTTCAAAAACGGACTCATTAATGTTAGTAATTGACAACACATCTCAAATTAGAGAAATAAGCACTTGAGCTGCAGCCAGAATTAATAATATCTGTCAATATATGTGGCATAAGGACAACCACCTAAAGGGATCCACCACCTGAAATGGTTCGGTTTGGATAGGTTTTTTCCCTAAAAAGAAATTAAATCAAATAAGTTGATTCTTCAAATATTGGAACCAAACCAAACCAAAATTAAGTCGTATTTTTATCGATTCGATTTTGTCGGTTTTTGTCGATTTTTCTGTTTTTTTGGTTTTCTTATTAGGTTTTTCTTAAATATAAGGCATACACTACCAAACACATATGCCGGCGACTATATTTTCAATGTAACATGATCACGCCCAACTCTAGTCCTAAAAAAGAGAATCGGTCGTTGCAAATATAATCCAGTCTAGAAGTCCGAAGCCGAATCCCATATAGAGTTGAGGCTTAGCTACAGTTATATCGCAAAAAAACACAAGTTCAATTAATTTCTTAGTTATAAAGATTTGATTTTTATTTCTACTAATTAACTAACAAATATTATAAAGCAGTAAAATTATTAACTGACAAGGATGAAATTGGAGACAAGTCTAAGGAGGTCTAGAGTTGTGATTTCCCCAATTGTCGGAATCCTTTCCGCTACGTTTTTTATAATTTCGCCCAAGTATTCTCTACCGATCGTGAGTACTTTGGGTGTCGTAATTTACTTCCGAGCAACTAACACAATTTACTAGACATATTCTTCCGAACTACATAGTTGGCACTAATTCCCTGCTCGCTAAGATCGCATCAAGGTTTCGTTATTCATAATCACACCTTTAAACCCTCCGTGTTGATTCCTCACATAAGTTAGGAGTGATGTTGTTCAGCAACTACCTAAATATGTATCCTTTTCCAAGCAATACATACTAAATAGTCATAGTCGATTGATGGTCATTCAATCAACAACAATAAACACGTAGTTGAACAAGTAGAGAAATCCAACGGCTTAGTTATATAAAAACATCAGAAGACTTTATCCTACAAAGGGTTCCATCAAAACCCAAAATAACAAATTAGCTATTCATGATAGTATGCAAAACTACAACACTAGAATTCATAACCAATAATGAAAATAGGAAGAAGGAAATGAAAAACTCGTAGAAGAATTCTCTGCCTTGCTCCTAGCATGTTCTTGCCTCCTTAGGCCGAATCCCCTCTCCCAAAACATCTCCCTTTTGGTCGAATATGATCTAAAAAACATCTTTCCTTTAGTTCAGACATATTTAGGGAGTATTTATAGGCTAGGGTTGAAGTCCTTGAGTCAAATCCGGGTCAGAGTCTTTTAGCCTGTGACTTAAAATTACCGGGCTATAGACCTCGTGAGGCCAGGCTTATAGCGCGGTCAACCTAGCTATAGACCTCGCGAAGCTTGGTCTGTAGCACGGTAAGGCAGGCTATAGAGTTGGTTTTATTTGGTCTGTAGCACGGTTTGGGTACTCGATGCTTTTGTGCTCTTTTCTTGCATTTTTTGTCCTCTTTTTGTGCAACTTTCAATCGACTATTTCTTCTGATGCTCTTAACAACACAATTTAGCTCAAATATCGCACGATTAATCACAAACCAACAAAATATAGGTCGAGTAATGTACTAAAAGTATAGCATTTTGGCCGAACATCATAACACTATCAAACCAATTGCTCTTTGAGAAATTTATCATTTACCAAGATATATTTATCAAAGATATATTGATGATAATTGAATCAAATAGTGATGAATAATTTAAGTACTCAATTAAAAATCGATTATTTTTAAAATGAAATAAATTCTTGTACTTAGCAAAAGAAAACTACCGATTAAACTAGAATGTAAAAGCAAAGAATTAGACTATTAAAATAGCAAAGAACTAGACTAAAAATACAAACGACTAATATGTACCATAAAATATTATAAAATTTATATAAAAATATACATATATATATATAGGTGTAATAATAAATTTAAATAGCTATTTCTATAGTCAGTTTGGTTCGGCTTTTTTCGATTATTTTTTTATTAAAACCAAAACCAAACCAAATTTGATCGAGTTGGTTCAATTTTTCCGATTTGTACGACCACCCTAACCTCAAGCAAAGACTAATTCCTCGACAATAAAAGGGAAAAAGAGCTAAAATAACTCATACATGCATTAATACAGCCTTTTATACACCCTCTTAAGCATTTCCTACTTATATACAGTAAGAATTCTTTTCTTTAGTTTCGAA